AACTTCACTGTCAACACTGAAAGTTAAACTTCCCTGTCAACACTGAAAGTTAAACTTCACTGTCAACACTGAGAGTTAAACTTCACTGTCCACACTGAAAGTTAAACTTCACTGTCAACACTGAGAGGTTAAACTTCACTGTCAACACTGAAGTTAAACTTCACTGTCACAACATGAGAGTTAAACTTCACTGTCAACACTGAGAGTTACACTTCACTGTCAACACTGAGAGTTAAACTTCACTGTCAACACTGAGAGTTAAACTTCACTGTCCACACTGAAAGTTAAACTTCACTTAGTGTCCACACTGAAAGTTAAACTTCACTGTCAACACTGAAAGTTAAACTTCACTGTCCACACTGAAAGTTAAACTTCACTGTCAACACTGAAAGTTAAACTTCACTGTCAACACTGAAAGTTAAACTTCACTGTCAACACTGAGAGTTAAACTTCACTGTCCACACTGAAAGTTAAACTTCACTGCCCACACTGAGAGTTAAACTTCACTGTCAACACTGAAAGTTAAACTTCACTGTCAACACTGAAAGTTAAACTTCACTGTCAACAACTGAAAGTTAAACTTCACTGTCAACACTGAAAGTTAAACTTCACTGTCCACACTGAGAGTTAAACTTCACTTTGTATCAACACTGAAGGTTAAACTTCACTGTCAACACTGAAAGTTAAACTTCACTGTCAACACTGAAAGTTAAACTTCACTGTCAACACTGAGAGTTAAACTTCACTGTCCACACTGAAAGTTAAACTTCACTGTCAACACTGAAAGTTAAACTTCACTGTCAACACTGAGAGTTAAACTTCACTGTCAACACTGAAAGTTAAACTTCACTTAGTGTCCACACTGAGAGTTAAACTTCACTGTCAACACTGAAAGTTAAACTTCACTGTCAACACTGAAAGTTAAACTTCACTGTCCACACTGAGAGTTAAACTTCACTGTCCACACTGAAAGTTAAACTTCACTGTCATCACTGAAAGTTAAACTTCACTGTCAACACTGAAAGTTAAACTTCACTGTCCACACTGAAAGTTAAACTTCACTGTCGATACTGAAAGTTAAACTTCACTGTCAACACTGAAAGTTAAACTTCACTGTCAACACTGAAAGTTAAACTTCACTGTCAACACTGAGAGTTAAACTTCACTGTCAACACTGAAAGTTAAACTTCACTGTCAACACTGAGAGTTAAACTTCACTGTCAACACTGAAAGTTAAACTTCACTGTCAACACTGAAAGTTAAACTTCCCTGTCAACACTGAAAGTTAAACTTCACTGTCAACACTGAGAGTTAAACTTCACTGTCCACACTGAAAGTTAAACTTCACTGTCAACACTGAGAGTTAAACTTCACTGTCAACACTGAAAGTTAAACTTCACTGTCAACACTGAGAGTTAAACTTCACTGTCAACACTGAGAGTTAAACTTCACTGTCAACACTGAGAGTTAAACTTCACTGTCCACACTGAAAGTTAAACTTCACTGTCAACGCTGAAAGTTAAACTTCACTGTCAACACTGAGAGTTAAACTTCACTGTCAACACTGAAAGTTAAACTTCACTGTCAACACTGAGAGTTAAACTTCACTTTGTATCAACACTGAAAGTTAAACTTCACTGTCCACACTGAAAGTTAAACTTCACTGTCAATACTGAAAGTTAAACTTCACTGTCCACACTGAAAGTTAAACTTCACTGTCAACACTGAAAGTTAAACTTCACTGTCCACACTGAAAGTTAAACTTCACTGTCAACACTGAGAGTTAAACTTCACTGTCCACACTGAGAGTTAAACTTCACTGTCAACAATGAAAGTTAAACTTCACTGTCAACATTGAAAGTTAAACTGCACTGTCGTCACTGAAAGTTAAACTTCCTGTCAACACTGAAAGTTAAACTTCACTGTCCACACTGAAAGTTAAACTTCACTGTCAACACTGAGAGTTAAACTTCACTGTCCACACGGAGAGTTAAACTTCACTGTCAACAATGAAAGTTAAACTTCATTGTCAACACTGAGAGTTAAACTTCACTGTCAACACTGAGATTTAAACTTCACTGTCCACACTGAAAGTTAAACTTCACTTGGTGTCAACACTGAAAGTTAAACTTCACTGTCTGCCGAAACCGAAGTAGAAAGGTACATAACCAGAAGTCACCGAACACCAAGATTTATGAAATTCGTGATGATGCAATGCTACTTTAATTAAAAAAAGCAATCTAGAACTATTCATTCAGAGCCTGCAGTAAGATTCGCTAAACATCAGATCTTTAGGTGTTACTCACTTTGGTAATTTTATCCGAACAAACGAATGTTACAGTAAAGAAACAACAGTTCTTTTTTTCCGAATTCTCGCCCAGTGGGTTGCTGAGCTTTGCTTTGATCGGAAGTGGACTTTATTGAAGTAATCCCACATCCCGGATGTTTCGACATTCTTCACGGTGATCAACTGCTCCGGTTTATTGACTTAAATTTTCTACATTTCGATTTAAAGCTTTCGTGACTGCAGGGATTCATATTCTTGTTTCTATCGGTAAAAGTCACCACCACGTAAGACAGGGAAACAATAAAATAATAAAAATATAAAACAATAAAATTATTGTAAACCAATAAAAAATATTATTCTTGGTTCTTTCGGTAAAGTCACCACCACGTAAGACAGGGAAACAATAAAATAATAAAAATATAAAACAATAAAATTATTGTAAAACAATAAAATTATTATTCTTGGTTCATTCGGTTAAAGTCACCACCACGTAGACAGGGAAACAATAAAATAATAAAAATATAAAACTATCAAATTATTGTAAAACAATAAAATTATTATTCTTGGTTCTTTCGGTTAAAGTCACCACCACGTAGACAGGGAAACAATAAAATAATAAAAATATAAAACTATCAAATTATTGTAAAACAATATAATTATTATTCTTGGTTCTTTCGGTAAAGTCACCACCACGTAGACAGGGAAACAATAAAATAATAAAAATATAAAGCAATAAAATTATTGTAAAACAATAAAAATCATTATTCTTGGTTCTTTCGGTTAAAGTCACCGCCACGTAGAAGGGAAACAATAAAATAATAAAAATATAAAACAATACAATTATTGTAAACAATAAAATTATTATTCATGGTTCTTTCGGTTAAAGTCACCGCCACGTAGAAGGGAAACAATAAAATAATAAAAATATAAAACAATAAAATTATTGTAAAACAATAAAATTATTATTCTTGGTTCTTTCGGTTAAAGTCACCACCACGTAGACAGGGAAACAATAAAATAATAAAAATATAAAACAATAAAATTATTGTAAAACAATAAAATGTATTATTCTTGGTTCTTTCGGTAAAAGTCACCACCACGTAAGACAGGGAAACAATAACATAATAAAAATATAAAACAATAAAATTATTGTAAAACAATAAAATTATTATTCTTGGTTCTTTCGGTAAAGTCACCACCACGTAAGACAGGGAAACAATAACATAATAAAAATATAAAACAATAAAATTATTATTCTTGGTTCTTTCGGTAAAGTCACCACCACGTAGACAGGGAAACAATAGAATAATAAAAATATAAAACAATAAAATTATTGTAAAACAATAAAATTATTATTCTTGGTTCTTTCGGTAAAGTCACCACCACGTGGAAGGGAAACAATAAAATAATAAAAATATAAAACAATAAAATTATTGTAAAACAATAAAATTATTATTCTTGGTTCTTTCGGTTAAAGTCACCACCACGTAGACAGGGAAACAATAAAATAGTAAACATATAAAACAATAAAATTATTGTAAAACAATAAAATAATTGTAAAACAATAAAATTATTCTTGGTTCTTTCGGTTAAAGTCACCACCACGTAGACAGGGAAACAATAGAATAATAAAAATATAAAACAATAAAATTCCCACGATGTTTCGACTGCAACACAAGCAGCAATCGTCATCAGGGTGTGAAAACCACAGCAAGACAATTTGAAAAAAGTGGCGGTTTTTAATTTTCTCCTTCGCTCAGGCTCGGAATTTCGTTATCGCCAATTCGCTACGGATGAATTAACTAACGGAACATCAATACTGGCAGACTTCGAAATCTCGCTATCAACACGCGTGTAGACTTTAGCCAGCACCTGTGACAGGAGGTCAGAGAAGGCATCTGACTCATCGGCTTTGCCTGCATCCCTCCACGGATGTTCGTCTTCGGCGGGGGCATAAGTAACCACGACCACCACCACTCCTCGCCTCCGATTGATGGGAAGGCGAGCCCAAAGTAGCCTGGGGCTTATACAGCTTCCCACACCTCACCGCCACGCTCCCACGCCCCCTTCATTCTTTCGTTCAGAAGAAGAGCCACACCCTGTTGTTTGGCAGTCTGCTGCCCCGAGTAGAGGACTGTCCACCCCTCATTGTGGCAGGAGCCAGAGCCGGTCCACCGGACCTCCTGAATGCCGCATAGATCCAGGCGGTACCGGTCCAGCTCCCGACAGAGGAGCGGCAGCCTCTCCTCCGCGGTGAGCGTTCGAACATTCCACGTGGCCACACGAAGTGGCTTTTCGTTGTTTCTGGAGGAGCCCCGAGGGTAGAGATTCAATCTCCTGGCTCCGCCAAATGGGGTTTGGCCAGGAGACGTCATAGACGCCTGTCCCCCCGGGGCCTCCGGCACAAGCTCGTTAATTAATGTTTTTGGTTGTAGTTTAGTGGTAAAAGGTGGTTACCAGCCCCTCGCACCCGTCCAGAGCCCGCGTTTAGCCGCTGTGGTGGACACAGATGCCATGAGGGGAGAGGAGCCAATCGGAATTGGCCCTTCCCCCCACAGCACTGTCCACGACAGAGTTGCCCGTCCGGTTAGGGGGTTGTTTTACCGGGCCCACGGACACACTCACCAACTCACTCGCCGACGTCTCTGCGTCTCTGTGTCTGTCTCCCCGTGTCTCCGTGTCTCCGTGTCTGTCTCCCCGTGTCTCCGTGTCTCCAGATCACGCAGCTGAAGATTGCCAGTAATCCCTTCGCTAAAGGATTCAGAGACTGTGACCCAGAGGAATGGTGAGACACGGACACACTGAGACACTGAGACACGGAGACATTGAGACACTAAGACACGGACACACTGGGACACTGAGACACTGAGACACTGGGACACTGAGACACTGAGACACTGAGACCCTGAGACACGGAGACCCTTAGACACGGAGACCCTTAGACACTGAGACACTGAGACACTGGGACAGTGAGACACTGAGACACGGAGACCCTTAGACACTGAGACACGGAGACACTGGGACAGTGAGACACTGGGACACTGGGACACTGAGACACGGAGACATTGAGACATTGAGACACGGAGACACTGAGACATTGAGACACTGAGACACAGAGACACGGACACACGGAGACACTGAGACACGGACACACTGAGACACTGAGACACTGAGACACTGAGACAGTGAGACACGGACACACGGAGACACTGAGACACTGAGACACTGAGACACTGAGACACGGACACACGGAGACACTGAGACACGGACACACGGAGACACTGAGACACTGAGACACGGACACACTGAGACACTGAGGCACTGAGACACTGAGACACGGACACACGGAGACACTGGGACACTGAGACCCAGAGACATGGACACACGGAGACACTGAGACACGGACACACGGAGACACTGAGACACGGACACACGGAGACACTGAGACATGGACACACGGAGACACTGAGACACTGAGACAGTGAGACACTGGGACACTGAGACACTGGGACACTGAGACACTGAGACACTGGGACACTGAGACACTGAGACACTGGGACATTGAGACACTGGGACACGGAGACACTGAGACACTGGGACATTGAGACACTGGGACACTGGGACACTGAGACACTGGGACACTGGGACACTGAGACACTGAGACACTGGGACACTGGGACACTGAGACACTGAGACACTGAGACATGGAGACACGGAGACACGGGGACACTGAGACACAGAGACACTGAGACATGGAGACACGGAGACACGGGGACACGGGGACACTGGGACACTGGAACACTGGGATACTGAGACACTGAGACACTGAGACACGGAGACACTGGGACACTGGGACACTGAGACATGGAGACACTGAGACACTGGGACACTGGGACACTGGGACACTGAGACACTGGGACACTGAGACACGGAGACACTGGGACACTGGGACACTGAGACACGGAGACACTGAGACACTGGGACACTGAGACACTGAGACACTGGGACACTGGGACACTGAGACACTGAGACACTGAGACACTGGGACACTGAGACACTGGGACACTGGGACACTGAGACATTGAGACACTGGGACACTGGGACACTGAGACACGGAGACACTAAGACACTGGGACACTGGGACACTGAGACAGTGAGACACGGAGACACTGAGACACTGGGACACTGGGACACTGAGACACTGAGACACTGGGACACTGAGACACTGGGACACTGAGAGACTGGGACACTGAGACACTGAGACACTGGGACACTGAGACACTGAGACACTGGGACACTGAGACACTGAGACACTGGGACACTGAGACACTGAGACACTGAGACACTGGGACACTGAGACACTGGGACACTGAGACACTGGGACACTGAGACACTGAGACACTGGGACACTGGGACACTGGGACACTGAGACACTGGGACACTGAGACACTGGGACACTGAGACACTGGGACACTGAGACACTGAGACACTGAGAGACTGGGACACTGAGACACTGAGACACTGAGACACTGGGACACTGAGACACTGAGACACTGGGACACTGGGACACTGAGACACTGAGACACTGAGACACTGGGACAGTGAGACACTGAGACACTGGGACATTGAGACACTGAGACACTGGGACACTGGGACACTGGGACAGTGAGACACTGAGACACTGGGACACTGGGACACTGAGACACTGAGACACTGGGACACTGAGACACTGGGACACTGGGACACTGAGACACTGAGACACTGGGACAGTGAGACACTGGGACACTGGGACACTGAGACACTGGGACACTGAGACACTGAGACACTGAGACACTGAGACACTGAGACACTGGGACACTGGGACACTGGGACACTGAGACACTGGGACACTGAGACACTGAGACACTGAGACACTGAGACAGGGAGACACTGGGACACTGAGACACTGGGACACGGAGACACTGGGACAGTGAGACACTGGGACACTGAGACACTGTGACACGGAGACACTGGGACACTGAGACACGGAGACACTGAGACACGGAGACAGAGAGACACTGAGACACTGGGATAGTGAGACACGGAGACACTGAGACAGAGAGACACTGAGACACTGACACACGGAGACATTGAGACACTGGGACACTGGGACACTGAGACACTGAGACAGAGAGACACTGAGACACTGGGACAGGGAGACACTGAGACACTGAGACACTGAGACACTGGAACACTGAGACACTGAGACACTGGGACACTGGGACAGTGGGACACTGAGACACGGACACACTGAGACACGGACACACTGAGACACGGACACACTGGGACACTGAGACACTGAGACACTGAGACACTGAGACACTGGGACACTGAGACACGGAGACACTGAGACATTGAGACACTGGGACACTGAGACACTGAGACACTGAGACACTGGGACACTGAGACACGGAGACACGGAGACCCTGAGACACGGAGACACTGAGACAGACACACTGTGTCTCTGAGACACAGAGACACGTGAAGTGAGAGAGACATTTGCAGAATGATACCGGTATGAACGCCTCCTGGTTACTACACCACCACCAGCAGCAGCAGCACAGGGGAGTATTATTATTATTATTGTTGTTGTTATTGTTGTTATTGTTGTGTCTGTCCGTCGTGCATCCAAACATGGGTGGGGAGGGGCTGGGTGGGGAGGGGAGGGGCTGTGTGGGGTGTGGGAGGGGAGGGGCTGGGAGAGGCTGGGTAGGGAGGGGCTGGGTGTGGGGGAGGGGCTGGTCACCCCGTGGTGCCCCCCCCCCCCCTTATAAAACTCAACGTTTCACCAACTCACGACAGCCTTGTGCCCCGCCCTCACAGTCGGGCACATTGTGTAGAACACACCACGTGGGGTGTGTGGAACGCACCACGTGGTGTAGAACACACACCACGTGGTGTGTGTAGAACACACACCACGTGGTGTAGAACGAACCACGTGGTGTGTGGAACGCACCACGTGGTGTGTGTGGAACGCACCACGTGGTGTGTGTGGAACGCACCACGTGGTGTGTGTGGAACGCACCACGTGGTGTGTGTGGAACGCACCACGTGGTGTGTGTGGAACGCACCACGTGGTGTGTGTGGAACGCACCACGTGGTGTGTGTGGAACGCACCACGTGGTGTGTGTGGAACGCACCACGTGGTGTGTGTGGAACGCACCACGTGGTGTGTGTGGAACGCACCACGTGGTGTGTGTGGAACGCACCACGTGGTGTGTGTGGAACGCACCACGTGGTGTGTGTGGAACGCACCACGTGGTGTGTGTGGAACGCACCACGTGGCGTGTAGAACGCACCACGTGGCGTGTAGAACGCACCACGTGGTGTGTTGTTGACCCTGACCATTGACCGAGCCACCCAACAACGTTCCTACCAGCAGCTCCTCCCTCCCTCCCGCAGGAGAAAAATCGGTAGAAAATTCCCCAAATTTCCTGCAGGGAATTTCATTTTCGTGAACATTTTTGTGAATTTCTTTCATTTAAAAATTTCGAGAATTTTGTTATTGTAACAAAAATAATTTCGGGATTTTGTTTTTGTACAAATTTTTCGGGAATTTTGTTTTTATCAAAATATTTCGGGAGCTATTTTTGTTCGTCGTTATATTTAGGGAATTTCTTTCATTTAAATATTTCGGGAATTTTGCTATTGTAAAAAATATATCTCGGGATTCTTTTGTAAAAATATTTTTGGGAATTTGTTTTAGTTAAAATATTTCGGGAAATGTTTTTTTGTTAAAGTATTTCGGGAATATTTTTTTGTAAGAATATTTCGGGAATTTTTTTTGTTCGTTCATACATTTTGGGAATTTGTTTTTGCTAAAATATTTCGGAAAATTTTTTTTTGTTAAAATATTTCGGGAAATGTTTTTTTTGATAAAATATTTCGGGAATATTTTTTGTAAGAATATTTCAGGATTTTTTTTTGTTCGTTCATACATTTTGGGAATTTGTTTTTGCTAAAATATTTTGGGAATTTTTTTTTGTTAAAATATTTCGGGAAATGTTTTTTTGTAAGAATATTTCGGGAATTTTTGTTGTAAGAATATTTCAGGAATTTTTTTTGTTCGTTCATACATTTTGGGAAATTGTTTTTGCTAAAATATTTCGGGAATTTGTTTTGGGGGGGGAGGGAATTTTGTTTTGCTCGTTAATTTCTGCCCCCCGCCCCCTCCTCTGATTGGCCAGGCCGCGCGGTCACGTGATCCGGGCCCCGTTCAGCCCCGCCCTCTCGAGGCCACGCCTCCTCAACGGGGAGGGAGAAGGTGGGCGTCACGTGACCACGTCATCACCAGCATCACCATCATCGTCATCATCACCATCATCAGCAGCAGTATCAGCATCATCATCAGCATCACCAGCATCACCATCACCGTCATCAGCAGCAGTATCAGCATCATCACCAGCATCACCATCATCATCGTCAGCATCATCAGCAGCAGTATCAGCATCATCATCAGCATCACCAGCATCACCATCATCGTCATCAGCAGCAGTATCAGCATCATCATCAGCATCACCATCATCATCGTCAGCATCATCAGCAGCAGTATCAGCATCATCATCAGCATCACCAGCATCACCATCACCGTCATCAGCAGCAGTATCAGCATCATCATCAGCATCACCAGCATCACCGTCATCGTCATCAGCAGCAGTATCAGCATCATCATCAGCATCACCATCATCATCATCACCATCATCAGCAGCAGTATCAGCGTCATCATCAGCATCACCATCATCATGCTAATTCCATTGTCAAGGCACCACCTTAATTACTCGCACACAAATTTTGATTTAAAGCTTTCGTGACTGCAGTGATTCATATTCTTAGTTCTTTCGGTAAAGTCACCACGTTGAAGGGAAACAAAATAATAATAAAATATATATAAAACAATAAAAAAATTCTCACGACGTTTCGACCATAACACAAACGGTCGTCTTTCAGGTTGTGTTATGGTCGAAACGTCGTGATAATTTTTTTTATTATAATCTTAGTTTTTTCGGTAAAGTCACGTTCAAGAGAAACAACAAAATAATAAAATATATATATAAAACAATAAAAAAAATTCTCACGACGTTTCGACCATAACACAAACGGTCATCTTCAGGTGTGTTGGTTCGCATAAATTTATTTTTAAACGGCGCATTTATTTATTTATAATAAAAAACGTTAGCGCCACGCGCAACGATTTGGCAGTTTATTTAAGACTAGTCCAACACCTCGGTCGTGGCAGATCATTGTTCTAATTCAGTAGGCTCACATGCCATTGACTTTTCCAAGACGGAGGCTCTTTGTAAGCCATCCGGCTACCACGAGAGATTCGTTCATGAGGCTATCCACATATACAAGCACAGAGACAATTTCAACCGAGAAGATGGATTCTATCTTAGCAATCATTGGAAAGATTTGATGAACCATTTCAGGTCTTAATTGATTGTTCACGCTTACAGTGGCTTTCAGACAGCATACATTATATATATAAAAAAATTCGTCTCCCCCCCTCCTCTTTTCAGAATATAGATGGACTAGTCCTAAATAAACTTGCCAAATCGCTGCGCGTGGCGCTAACGTTTTTTTTATAAATAAATAAATGCGCCGTTTAAAAATAAATTTATGCGAACCAACGCACCTGAAGATGACCGTTTGTGTTATGGTCGAAACGTCGTGAGAATTTTTTATAGTTTTATATATATTTTATTATTTTATTGTTTCTCTTGAACGTGACTTTACCGAAAAAACTAAGATTATAATAAAAAAAAATTATCACGACGTTTCGACCATAACACAACCTGAAAGACGACCGTTTGTGTTATGGTCGAAACGTCGTGAGAATTTTTTATTGTTTTATATATATTTTGTTATTTTATTGTTTCCCTTCAACGTGACTTTACCGAAAAAACTAAGAATATGAATTACTGCAGTCACGAAAGCTTAAAATCAAAATGTATTTTATTTATTGTTTTATATATATTTTATTATTTTGTTGTTTCCCTTCAACGTGGTGACTTTGCCGAAAGAACCAAAGATTATACTCGCACACGGCTTAAAGGTCCGCGGTCTGAGCGTGGCTGTGTTTCACTCCAGCGCTGTCCTCTGGACGGTCTGGTCCCTTCACCTGACGAAGGCCCGCTTGTGTTGTGGCCGAAACGTCGTGAGAATTTCGTTGTTTTACTTTGCTTTTACCTTCTGCCACGTGGTGACTTTACCTGAATAGAGCCAAAGAGTGTGGATCCTTGCAGTCACGAAAGCTTCAAATCTAGAATCATCAGCATCATCATCATCAGCAGCAGCAATCATCATCAGCAACATCAGAACAGCCATCATCAGCATCATCATCAGCATCATCAGCAGCATCCTCATCAGCAACATCAGAATAGCCATCATCAGCATCATCATCATCAGCAGCATCATCATCAGCATCATCATCAGCAGCATCATCATCAGCAGTATGCGTCACAAGCAGAACGTAATTCTGACGTCCCCCCAAATGTCCCCTCCACGTCCGCCTTTGTCTCTCTCACCCCCACCCCCCCCACCCCCCATCCACGTCCGCCTTTGTCTCCCCCCCCCTCCCCCCACAGACGTCACCACCGCCACCCACGACTGCCGCCACTCGCTCCTCTCACCCCCCGCCCAGCGCTTCGCCCCGCCCCTCCACCCCGCCCTGCCCCCCCACCAGCCCCTCCCCCCGCCCCCCCACCAGCCCCTCCCCCCCACCAGCCCCGCCCCCGCGGGACCCCCCTTCGCCCACCCTCCCCACGCCCGCGTGGCCCCGCCCCTCCCGCGGGGCCCCCAGGGGCGTGGCTGGGTGGGGGCGGGGCGACCCGTCCCGTACCCCGCCCCCCGGGGCCCGGCCCCGCCCTTCTACCCGGTGGCCCCGCCCCCCTCGTTCACCCCTCCCCCAGAAGCCCCCGGCTACAGATGAAGCCCCCGGGTAGCCCCTCCCCTCTCCACCTGCACTGAGTTCAAAGTGGGTGGGTGGGTGGGTTAGTGGGTGGGTGGGTGGGTTAGTGGGTGGGTGGGTGGGTTAGTGGGTGGGTGGGTGGGTTAGTGGGTGGGTGGGTGGGTTAGTGGGTGGGTGGGTGGGTTAGTGGGTGGGTGGGGTTCACAGTGGGTGGGTTAGTGGGTGGGTGGGTTAGTGGGTGGGTGGGGTTCACAGTGGGTGGGTGGGTGGGTTTGTGGGTGGGTGGAGTTCACTGTGGGTTGGTGGGTGGGTTAGTGGGTGGGTGGGTTAGTGGGTGGGTGGGTTAGTGGGTGGGTGGGGTTCACAGTGGGTGGGTGAGTGGGTGGGTGGGTTAGTGGGTGGGTGGGGTTCACAGTGGGTTGGTGGGTGGGTGGGTTAGTGGGTGGGTGGAGTTCACAGTGGGTGGGTTAGTGGGTGAGTGGGTTAGTGGGTGGGTGGGGTTCACAGTGGGTTGGTGGGTGGGTGGGTTAGTGGGTGGGTGGGTGGAGTTCACAGTGGGTTGGTGGGTGGGTTAGTGGGTGGGGTTCACAGTGGGTTGGTGGGTGGGTTAGTGGGTGGGTGGAGTTCACAGTGGGTTGGTGGGTGGGTTAGTGGGTGGGTGGAGTTCACAGTGGGTTGGTGGGTGGGTGGGTTAGTGGGTGGGTGGAGTTCACAGTGGGTTGGTGGGTGGGTGGGTTAGTGGGTGGGTGGAGTTCACAGTGGGTTGGTGGGTGGGTGGGTGGGCGGGTTAGTAGGTGGGTGGAGTTCACAGTAGGTTGGTGGGTGGGTTAGTGGGTGGGTGGAGTTCACAGTGGGTTGGTGGGTGGGTGGGTGGGGTTCACAATGGCCAGGTGGGTGGGTGGGTTAGTGGGTGGGTGGGGTTCACAGTGGCCAGGTTGGTTGGTGGGTGGGTGGGTTGGTGGGTGGGGTTCACAATGGCCAGTTGGGTGGGTTAGTGGATGGGTGGGGTTTACAATGGCCAGGTGGGTGGGTGGGTTGGTGGGTGGGATTCAAAATGGCCAGGTGGGTGGGTTAGTGGGTGGGTGGGGTTTACAATGTTCAGGTGGGTGGGTTAGTGGGTGGGTGGAGTTTACAATGGCCAGATGGGTGGGTTGATGGGTGGGTGGGTTGTTGGGTGGGTGGGTTGGTGGGTGGGTGGGTTGATGGGTGGGTTTATAGGTGGGTGGGTTGTAGGGTGGGTGGGTTGATGGGTGGGTGGGGTTCACAGTGGCCAGGTGGGTGGGTTGGTGGGTGGGTGGGTTGGTGGGTGGGTTGATGGGTGGGTGGGTTGGTGGGTGGGTGGGTTGATGGGTGGGTGGGGTTCACAGTGGCCAGGTGGGTGGGTTGGTGGGTGGGTGGGTTGGTGGGTGGGTGGGTTGATGGGTGGGTGGGGTTCACAGTGGCCAGGTGGGTGGGTTGGTGGGTGGGTGGGTTGGTGGGTGGGTGGGTTGATGGGTGGGTGGGGTTCACAGTGGCCAGGTGGGTGGGTTGGTGGGTGGGTGGGTGGGTTGATGGGTGGGTGGGTGGGTTGTAGGGTGGGTGGGTTGGTGGGTGGGTGGGTTATAGGGTGGCTGGGTTGGTGGGTGGGGTTCACAGTGGCCAGGTGGGTGGGTGGGTTGGTGGGTGGGTGGGGTTCACAGTGGCCAGGTGGTTGATCGTGATGATGATGTTGCTGGTGATGTTGCTGATGATGATGTTGCTGATGACGATGTTGCTGATGACGATGATGTTGCTGATGACGATGTTGCTGATGACGATGTTGTTGATGACGATGTTGCTGATGACGATGTTGTTGATGACGATGTTGCTGATGACGATGTTGCTGATGACGATGTTGCTGATGACGATGTTGCTGCTGATGACGATGTTGCTGCTGATGACGATGATGTTGCTGATGATGTTGCTGATGATGATGTTGCTGATGATGATGATGTTGCTGATGATGTTGCTGATGATGTTGCTGATGATGATGTTGCTGATGACGATGTTGTTGATGACGATGTTGCTGATGACGATGTTGCTGATGACGATGTTGCTGCTGATGACGATGTTGCTGCTGACGATGATGATGTTGCTGATGACGATGTTGCTGATGATGATGTTGCTGATGATGATGTTGCTGATGACGATGTTGTTGATGATGATGTTGCTGATGATGTTGCTGATGACGATGTTGCTGATGACGATGTTGTTGATGACGATGTTGCTGATGACGATGTTGCTGATGACGATGTTGCTGCTGCTGACGATGTTGCTGCTGATGATAATGTTGCTGATGATGATGTTGCTGATGACGATGTTGCTGATGATGATGTTGGTGATGATGTTGCTGCTGATGATGATGTTGCTGATGATGATGTTGCTGGTGATGATGTTGCTGATGATGATGTTGCTGATGACGATGTTGCTGATGATGATGTTGCTGCTGATGATGATGTTGCTGATGATGATGATGTTGCTGATGATGATGATGTTGCTGATGATGACGATGTTGCTGATGATGATGTTGCTGATGACGATGTTGCTGATGATGATGTTGCTGATGATGATGATGTTGCTGATGATGATGATGTTGCTGATGATGACGATGTTGCTGATGATGATGTTGCTGATGATGATGGTGTTGCTGATGACGATGATGTTGCTGATGATGATGTTGCTGATGATGATGTTGCTGATGATGATGATGTTGCTGATGACGATGTTAAGTTATAGTCGATGTTGGTGTCGGTGATGTTAAGATGCGATGGCCTCGTCTCGCTGCCTAGCAACCACCCCCCTAGCCCCTCCCCCCGTGCCCCCCTAGCCCCTCCCCCTGTGCCCCCCCACCCCCTCTCCCCCCCAGCCCCTCCCCTCGTGCCCCCCTCACCCCCTCTCCCCCCCCACCCCCTCTCCCCCCTCAGCCCCTCCCCCTGTGCCCCCCTCACCCCCTCTCCCCCCTCAGCCCCTCCCCCCATGCCCCACCCCACCCCCTCTCCCCCCCAGCCCCTCCCCCCCGTGCCCCACCCCACCCCCTCTCCCCCCTCAGCCCCTCCCCTCGTGCCCCTCCCCCCCCCCTCGCTGTTTCCATGACAACCGATTCGCGCTCTTTAATCATCCCCCAAACTCGCGTCACGTGACTGCCTCCTTGATCAAAGCCACGTGACGGCGGCCATATTCATTGGTCACGTGGCAGTCGCCAATCGAGCCACGTGACAGCACCTTCATTATAGGGTCACGTGACAGTGCCTCTTTAACCACGTGACAGTGCCTTGTATATTTCTTGGTTCTTTCAGTAAAGTCACCACGTAGAAGGGAAACAATAAAATAATAAAAATATAAAAGCAATTTTTTTATATTTTAATGAAATGATAAAATAATAAATTATAATAAAATAATGATTTTTTTTTTATACAATAATAAAATAGAATAAATAATAACAATATCAAACAATTTTTTTATATTTTTATATTCTTGGTTCTTTCGGTAAAGTCACCACGTAGAAGGGAAACAATAAAATAATAAAAATATAAAAGCAATTTTTTTATATTTTAATGAAATGATAAAATAATAAATTATAATAAAATAATGATTTTTTTATACAATAATAAAATAGAATAAATAATAACAATATCAAACAATTTTTTTATATTTTTATATTCTTGGTTCTTTCGGTAAAGTCACCACGTAGAAGGGAAACAATAAAATAATAAAAATATAAAAGCAATTTTTTTATATTTTAATGAAATAATAAAATCATAAATTATTATAAAATAATGCAAATATAAAACATTTATTTTAATTTTTATCAAATAATAAAATAGAATAAATAATAACAATATCAAACAATTTTTTTATATTTTTATATTCTTGGTTCTTTCGGTAAAGTCACCACGTAGAAGGGAAACAATAAAATAATAAAAATATAAAAACAAAAATTGTCAATTTTTATTATTTTATTATATTTTTATTTTATTATTTTATAAAATATATATATAAACATTCGACTTTTATTATTTTATGATATTTTATTATTTTATTGCTTTATAAAAATATAAAAATTATATTTTTATTATTTTTAATTGTTTCCCTTCTACGTGGTGGTGACTTTACCGAAAGAACCAAGAATAATAATTTTATTGTTTTACAATAATTTTATTGTTTTATATTTTTATTATTTTATTGTTTCCCTTCTACGTGGTGGTGACTTTACCGAAAGAACCAAAGAATATGAATCCCTGCAGCCACGAAAGCTTTAAATAAAAAGTGCCTTGATTATTAGTCACGTGACTGCCTCTAACCACGTGACATTGCCTCCTTAATTAATCACGTGACTGCCTCCTTAGTAACCACGTGACATTGCCTCCTTAATTAACCACGTGACAGTGCCAATTAAGCCACGTGACACTGCCTTGTAGATTAGCCACGTGACAGCGCCTTCTTGATTAGTCACGTGACGGCGCCTCGTTAATTAGTCACGTGGCAGCGCCTCGTTAATTAGTCCCATGTGACCGCCGCATTCGTAAGCCGATTGGTCACGTGGCCGCGTCTTATAATCCGGTAGATTGCGCGCGCGAGCGAAGGTCTGTGATTGGCCGACGGGCCCCCCTCCCCCACCCCACCCCCCCCCCCCTGATTGGCCCACCCCCCTCGCAAGCTCGCGGAGGGAGCCGATTGGTCGATGGAAAATGCGCGTTTCGGAAAACTTTGCTCGAGCTGCTGATTGGTCGACGACGATTAA